CCCACTCCTTACTGTTTCGTCTTTTTTCTTCTAGGCTGCTGAAATACCTTCCTAAATGCAGCATTCATCACGACAGAAACAGCTAAATTCACATTTCTCTTATCATCACATAAAGCATGCATCGCCGTTATATATCAAAATATGAGTAGATTTGAACTATCTTTGAATCATCGCTTTACTCCTCCACACATTAATTGCCCACTATTTTAGCTAGGCCGTTAATCTTTTCCATTTCGGTTGCTTTTATCCTACGCTGACTTGAAGATCGGATTATTTTAGAGCCACTTAATGGCAACCTACCTTATACAACAGTACCTGTTGGCAGCGGTGGTCTGGTGAACTATCGAAGAGCCTTATTTGACTTAAACACCTGGTGAAGCCACAGTATTGATCGAGGTCGAACCACTTCCTGAATGTGGGTGCGGGTTTGCCAACTGTTAGCAATAAGTTGACACGTCGAGTAGATGTCACAACAAATACGTTTTTATGCGGCAAACAAAATAAATGAAAACAGCTGTGCAGTCCTGCCTTTGATGTTCATGCAAGCAACAGCAGAGAGACATGAACTCTGCAATTACACAACTGAACTAAACGCCGCCACTCTAAACGGCTAGACTGAAAGTGATCGAGGCTAATTAAAGAAAATAAAGGGAGTTTATTGTCTCGATTGGATTTAAAGAAGTCAAGGCATCTATCTTCATGAGCGAAATTTGTTTGTAGTAATATAATTAACAAGGAGGACCAAGTAAATGCTGTAACCGTGTGCCTAAACAAACTCAAAAAACAGAGGCCCTTGATTCATAAAATACCAGCAATTAACTCGGATTAAATGCTAAGCCGGATATCAACACTGCATATCATTAACAGGGCAAACGAACAGCCTGAAGGTGACTTATGCACAATTCTTTTAAATTTAGGCCTTATAATGCACATATACCCCAATGTGGGGGAACTTTGTTTCAAACCTTCTGCATGAAGCCAAATGACATTTCTTCTTTCCGATTACGATTTTTTGTCAGCCAGCCGGATGACCTAAGCTGGTGAGTGAGTAGGTGAGCCTTGGACCTGAGTAAAGGAGATCAATGTGAATGAATAAATAAAGGCGTGAAAAACTTGTGAATAGGTGAATGAATGGATTGTCAGGCCCGTGTGCATGCGGAAGAGCACGTTGTGCACTGACGCTTACTGGTTCCTGCATGTTTGAATTAGGACACGTGCACACCCGCTGATAAGAAATGGGGATTCCTTATCCGCTTGGCACAAAACATGCTTAAATGGTAAAGGTTATTATTGTTGTTATTACTGCAATGTTACAGTTTTAACATCACTACAATACTTCGCATCCAGCTGCCGAGCTATACTTTGAGCTTACAGGTGGATCAGTTGTAGGTCGATGAGA